AAAAAAAAAAAAAGAAGAACTAAGTAGAAAAATTAACCACATACCTCCTGGGAGAATTTCTTACCTTTTAGCAATTTCCTCTTGAGCCTTAGTTATTTCTGCTTTCATTTCACTTTGTGAGGGCAATGTCTTTAGCCCTAAAGAGGAAAATCAAAATTTTAAGTGTAAAATTACCTCACTGGGAATAATAATCCTATTAACAATCACTATGCCATGCAGAACTCAAAGAAATACAGGATAATTTTCTGTACCCAAGGAGGTTATAAGTCACCTTACCCCATCATCACCACAATATGACACTAACAACAGTAACTTACTCTAGTCTACTTTGTCTTTGGAAGATATTTCTCCTATTCTGGCTTCTAACCAATACCTTCCTCCTCCCTAACATCATCTTCCAATTTGGAAAATTAAATAATGGACAAGAGGAAATAATAAATGGTCCCAAAAGTATATGAAAATTAAAGAAGGAAGTAAAAGGGCAGAGTGGGGGGAACCACGCCCACATTTGTACTCTTTGTAACAAATAGGCTTTATCCCACAGGGAAAGAAGGAAAAATTCTTGATCCCATTTTATGCCTAAAGTCCTATAAAGATAAGCTTTTTCCTATTCTGCTTGGATTCTTCACAATTTCAGAGGCAGCCCATTCCGTCTTGATATGGCAATAGCTGACCAAAAAAAAAAAAGGTTGGTGTGTTTGTTTTTAATGTTAAGCTGATTTTGTGCAACCCTCAAAGTTTCACTCCTTGGTTCTGGTTCAACCCTTGGAAGTGATACTGAGCAAATCAGATCCTTCTGCCATGGGACATTCTTCAAACCTTTGAAGGGAACGCTCATACTGCCCCTGAATCTTATCTTCTCTAGGTAAACCCCTCTGGCTCCTTCAGTTGTATTTCAAATGTCGTTTTCAAATCCCTTAACCATTCTTGTCTCTCTCCTTTTCAGGCACCCCAGTTTCACTTTTAAAATAGGTCTTTGGGAAAAGTAAAATAAAATAAAATAGGTCTTTGGGTATGTGCTGACCAGTTTAAACAAGAACAGTTTAAGTTCTTAGAGAAGAACAATTGTAAGTTCTACGACATTATAATTCTTTAATGCTGCTGGAGATAATTAAGCCTTTTAGAAGCTATATCATTCTCCTGACTCATATTTAGCCTATTAGCCCAAACCCCAAAGTTTTTTCTCATGTTCTCCGAGCCAAAACTGAAAGAAGGGATATAAAAGGGGGAAAGTAGGAATTTGAGAGGTTGAATCTTATACATTGTGGACTAGTCTTTAACCAGGTCTTAATTTTTGGCTGAAATCAAATCACACCATTTCTATATTTGCTTTTCCCTATAATGAAAGATTACATTCTTTTGCTTCACAAATATGTATCAGATGAGTGGATTCTACTCTGGAGTGCCCATAGGGATCAATGGAGGAATATTTTCTCAGAGATCTTACGCCTGCACCACTTAGATTTATCAAAGAAACACCACCAGGCAAAGCATACCTATTTGTGGAAAATCTCCCAGGAGATTCCAATATATGTCTACAGTTCTAAGTTATTACTCTATGTTCACTCAAAAATAATTTTTGAGCACTGATTTTATGCCAGGCAGTTACAGTCATACACACTGTTTAGCTATTTAAAAGCAAGAACATGAACATAACTAAACATACCACTACGTAGTTAGGGAGTCAACTTGCACGGTCACTTACCTTTAAATACTTGAGTGACCCAGCGTCCTTGCAGCTCTGAAATGGGCATAATGGCACCCCAGGGCTGGATCAAGCCTATGATTGCAAGAGTTGGCTTTTCCAGGTTTGGAGGGAAGATGTTTTTATATAGGGAAATCTTGTTTTTGACTACTTGGACAGAATCTTCAAGAAAAGGGAAGGCGAAGGTATAGCCTGTGGCAAAGATGACAGCATCCATGTTGTCTTCCCTGGAGCCATCTTCAAATATGGCAGCCGTTTCTGTGAATTCCTTCACGTTGCCTTTCACCTTCACCAAGCCAGATATTATACGATTTGGCAGGTCATCATTCAGCGTTGGATTTTGACTCAGTACTCTGTATGTCGTGAGAAAGATCAGAAGAAAGAGAAATGCGGGAAACAAAAAGGGGTATCGGTAACATGTCAGTAAAATTCTACTTTGATGGAGGTTGTTAGACAATATGCTAATGGTCTCTCTCTGGTCTATCCATGAAATTTGGGAAAGCTCTAATGTATACCAGCTGGGCACAGTTTAGGATCTCAGAGCAGAAGTTGGGACCTGGATGGCATTGAAAGAGAAGACGGGAGCTCCTGGGTGGCTCAGTCGGTTAAGCATCTGCCTTCAGCTCCGGTCATGATCCCAGGGTCCTGGGATCGAGCCCCACATCGGGCTCCCTGCCAGTGGGGGTTCTGCTTCTCCCTCTGCTCCTCCCCTGCTTCTGCTCTCTCTCTCTAATAAATAAAATCTAAAAAAAGAGAAGACATTGGAGAACTGAAAGAAGAATGGTCTTATTTGAATGGTTTCTCAAGGAATAGTAGTAATATTCTCAGTGATATGGTAAGGCCACAGGCCCATAGATTCTATCCACAGATCAGTAGGTCTGGAGAATTGGACTATCTGCATTCTACTGAGTCTCATTTCTAGTTTCAAAGGCCCAAGAGCTAGAATTAGACCATCATTTTCAAATGACATGTATATAGGGATTTATAGTTATAAATTGATTCTATATACATTCATTTATTTGAGTCTCACACAAACCCAATGAAGGAGGCAGGACAGGTGTCATTATTCAAGTTTAGAGATGAGGAGATTGAGGCCTACAGAAGTGGCTTGCCCAAGGTTACACAGACTAGGATTTTAGAATGTATGTCAAAATGGTTTTCCATGAATTCCTTGGGAGCCTCTGGGCCTGCTAAGTACTATTTTCGTAGAGAAGGCATAGGATAAAGACTGCCAAAAAAAAAAAAAAAATAGGGTTTCTAGTGTCTTGGACCTTTCTAAAAATCAGTCTGGATCCCTGGGCCCTTAGTTAATAGGCTCTGAGAATTCTCAGCACATCATGTTCAGACAGAGATGGCCAAGCCTCAGGAACATGGCATTACTGTTACTGGTCTGTTGTATTTAGTTACGCTTTGACTCTAACCTTTAGAATTTAGGTACAGGTTCTGTTCTTATTCTGACCTCATGATTTCATCTTTCTCTCTAAGCTTACTGCTTTTCACAAACAGTACCACCATCTACATAGTTGCCTAAGCCACAAAACTTGAGTCTTCTATCTGGTCACACGGGCTATTCCCTTTCTCCACTTAATATCTCCAGAGTAGATTTTTCTGTTTTCTATCTTACCTAGACCATTACAATTGTCTGTAGGGCCTCCTGCTCCATCCCCCTTCAGTCTATCTCCTACATCATTTTTGGAGTGGTTGTTCCAAAATGTATTTATTAGTAGGTCACTCACTTGCTTGAAATCTTTCAATGCCTCTGGACTCTTGATTCCAAATGTTTTAGTTAGCAGAGTATACAAAGGTGTTTTTTTTTCTCTTTTTCTAAATGTTTTATTTATTTATTTGACAGAGAGAGACACAGCGAGAGAGGGAACACCAGCAGGCAGAGTGGGAGAGGGAGAAGCAGGCTTCCCGCTGAGCAGGGAGCCCCATGCGAGGCGATCCCAGGACCCTGGGGTCATGACCTGAGCCGAAGGCAGACGCTTAACGACTGAGCCACCCAGGTGCCCCACAGAGGTTTTAATATACCTGTCTGTTGAGGCTGGAGATGTCCTCAATCACTCTTTCACCTTTGCCATTTTATTACAGTCTGGCCAAACCAGACGACATGCAAGTCCCAGAGCAAAATGTATTTTTCAATATTCTAAGACCTTGTACTTAGAATTAGAATGCAACTTCCTTACCCTACTTACTTGGTTAGCTCCTATTGTTGCATAAAGCCTCAATTAATTTTGTAACCACCAAAGTTATGGATGCTACAGTTTCCATAACTGGGTGAAATAAATGAGTGAAAGAACACAGTCTCAAAGTATCACCCCACTGATCAAAGGGAAAACATCTTTACAAAGGAGAAACCTGGTAGGTGCCACCTTATCCAAGTGGTCAAATTTAACCTCCTTAATACGGGAGAAATTAATATGATGTGGATGCTGGTGTGATCCACCAAGAAGGTACAACATAACCTATGAGTATTTGTGCCAAAATGCTTAACCCAGAATATAGTAAAGGTAGGACAATTATGTGAGTCCACGTTTAGAGATTCTCCATAAAACAGTTGGCTCAATTCTTTTAAAAAAGCCTATGTCAAAAAATGGTAAATTATTTCGGATGAAGAGAGACTAAAGAGACCTGACAATTAAATGCAATTGGGTAATACCTGAAAGGATCCTAGATTTAAAAATAAGAGAGCTGTAAATAATATTCTTGGGAAAATTTAGAAAATTTGAATATGTGATATATTAAATTGTATATATAAAACTGTATTTTATCAATGCTGAATTTCCTGTGTGGGCACTCTGTTACATTTATGTAGGAGAATGCCCTATTTCTTAGGCAATATATGTTGAAGAATGTAGGGCAAAGTGTCTTAGTGACTGTGACTTACTCTCAAATGGTTCAGGAAAAATATGTACGTATGCATTTATGGATGGATGGATGCTGTATATGTGGGGATTTATCTATTTTCAGAGAGAGGGAGAGAGAGAAAGCAAATGTAGCAAACCGTTGATAGGTGAATCTAAGTGAAAGGTACATGGGTACTCATTGTACTTACTATTTTGGAGTAAGTAAATCTGAACATTTAAAAAAAATGAAGAATTGGAAAAAAGCATTTAAAATCAGCCTCTAGAAATGCTTTCACAGTTTGTCTCCTTGACTGTGTGAGGTCTCCCATAGTTCATACCCCCAGAATACTCCATGCATTTATCATACTCTCTTGCCTGTCTTCTCCTTAGAGTACTTAAGGTAAGATCCATTTCTCGAGTCTGACATTTATTTCTTGTGTGACCTCAGACGAATTAGTTTCTCTAGGTGTCAGTTTTTATATCTGCAAAATAGAGGTTAAAAAAAATACTTCTAACCTATAGGGTTGTTGTGAGCATTAAATGAGATCATACATGGAACTCATTTAGCAACGTGCTTGTCTTATAATAAGTCCTCAGAAAAGTAAGGTGTTATTATTTGTACTAGTATTACTATTAGGTCTTTAGTCTCTGTATTCTCATGCGCAGCATAATGCTTGGCTCATAACTGGTGCTCAGTGTTTGTGGGATGAATGAGTGAATTATACACTGCCATCTGCTACCAATTGGTTGTTACTGGGTATTGTGTAAAAAGAACTTATATCTGAGGAAATGATCAAATGGTTAATGCCAAGGAGAATCATAGGCTGAAGATTACAGATTACAGTCGATCTCGGACTTCTATAAGGCGCAAGGTAGAAATCTGATCTCAGATCTGTGGATTTTCTTAATGTATGGGTAGAAGTAGCTCTGTGGTTAGCCTGTGTGAACAGTCCTTATTCCTGCGCCTTGGGCATCACTGCCCCACTCCCATCGTGGTAACATACCTGTGTTTAGGCTTTAGGCCAAACATCTCGTGGTCAAACCTTTGGTTCATCTTTTTCTCCAAAAAACTGTTTACTAATGATTGACCACAAATCTTCGAAAGAAAATGTTTATATCGAGAAGAGAATAACACATCAAAAGGATATCCATAGTCTGCTACACGATTCAGGATCCAAGACCCTCTCCTGGTGCTGAGGAAAACCTGGGGCATGGGGGAAAAATTGTTTGCATTTGTCATTCTCTGCTCATAATCCTTTAATAGCACCCCACTCTCTTCAAGACTAAGTTCAAACTCATTTGTCGGTCTTTTTAGTCCCTGCACAATTTTTTTTTTATTTCCTGCAATTTACCTTTCCAAACACTAAGAATACAATTAAATTAGTACACTCACTGACAAAGAACGTGTCTTTCTCTCAATCACCACTGCATTTCTGTTTAATGTCATTATACCTCCTTGAAAAGCCACTTTAAATTTTCCAAAGCCTATTTATTGTTAAGATCCAGATAAGTGTGCCTTCCTCCATAAGACACCACTGACCATTCTGCCTGACAATTTTCTCTGCATCCTTTGAACTTCTCTAGCACTTAACCTGCCCAACTCTTTGAAAAATCAAGGAGCAGTAGAACTGAAAGCAGTCGGACATCATTTAATCTAAAACCCTCAGTCTCTTTTGCCTTTGACATTATTTGCATTATTACCAAAAAACCCTGTTATTTATCATTTATACTGATACTAATTTTTTTTTAACACTTCTGTCTCTGCAAAACCCTTTCCTCCAGAGTGGGAGGTACAGCATAGACATCTTTCAGTCTCCCCAACACATTATCATTGCTTCTATTTATTGAGAATTCTGACCTGTAACTCACTGTGCCAGGTCCTTTAATCTATATTCTTACTTAATCAATACAACAACCTCTTGAAGTAGGTATTATTATCCCCATTTTACGGATGAGAGGCATGGAGAAAATGAATAGCTTGCTTGGAATCATACAGTTAGTAAGTGGCAGAGTTGAATTTCCAACCCAGGTCTGATGATCCCAAAGCCTGTGCTTGAAAAGTGTTTCACTGATTATTTAATGGAAAAACTGCAGATCCCTAGTAGAACAACAAGAAGCTGGTCAGTCTTTAGGTGCCCTCTGCTGGCTACAGTCCATGTTCAGAGCTGATAAGTTTTGACATTCAATTACCTGGTGAAAGTATCACTTTCTCTACAAAAGTCTCTGGGGATAGTTTCCAGAATTGTAAGGTACACAAGTATCTGCTCTATGGTCTTTTGTCTATAAACTCTCATATAAAAAGGTGACCAGGCTACAGAGGGATAATTATGTACTTCACTCATACATTCTCACTGACAGTAACCTTACACACTCTGATGATTAAGCACAGTTGAAAGAGCATGCACGGTCTTAGGAATCACAGAGCTTTGTGTGCAGTCTGTATCACTTTTGTTATATAAGTATGTGAGTAAACGCTCAGAGTCTCAATTAACAGATTCCCTATGTATAAAGTAGTGACAATAATACATCCCAAGGCTGTTGTGAGAATAGTGCACCACCGGCAAAGGGTGGGGCATATAGTAAACATTCAATAAATGCTTAATGGCTTTCGTCATACTTCTCATTTCAGTTTTCCATGTATACCTTGTTTTAAGCAAACACCGTATTTACAAGTCTGGATTTATATGAAAAAAATGTAAGTAACGTTGTTTTATAAGAAATGGGTGTTTTCTCTGCACAGAATGGGTGTGCTAGTGTCAGCCCTGCCGTGCAGACATGGTTGTACAGTGTGTTGTCCCCAGGCCTTCTCAGACACAGCCACCTTATCTCCATCCACTCTGGATGTTTCCTTTGCCAATCTGCAGTTCCTCAGTGCATGGAAGGCCCAGCTCCCTTATAACTGACCATGTGATAAGCCAGTGATATTAAAGAAGACTCATGCTTTGGGTCCCTATCATATACCTTACACACCCTTTCATCATAACACCTATACAAATTTTTACCCTTTTTTGTTTATATACCTATTTCCTGATCAAGTTTGTTGAACTAATTTATAGGGCAACATATGAAATTACTTTTGTGGCAATACATGGGGATAATACTGAGAAGTGTTACTGAATGGAGTTTCTGGGTAAAGGTCACTTAACAAAGTCGTGGCATTAAACTTCTATTTTAAAAAGATTTTAAACATATTTGTGGGGAAACACAGATTAATTTAAGTTACTGGAAAATGACCAGACACTTACCTATTGCCAATAAAGTTATTCAATACAGACATGAATAACAAGATATAAAATGACATGTCTTTTTCTAGGAGTTTATAATGAAGACATTTTTTTTCTAGCTCAAAATCTATGCTACAAAAAACAAAACAGCTCAGGTCTTTCTTTTTTTTTTAAACACTGGAGTGCAAATCTGGAACCCAGAAAACAAAACAAAACAAAAAACTCTAGGACACAGAACTTGCTTTAGAGTGAATGTCATTCCGATACCTAATTGTATGCAAAGGCTGGGGTGAACTCCTTGCACATGCTACAGCATGGATGCTTTTCATACCAATATCCACGATGTCTTTGGAAAGTTTAGACTGTTTCTATTTTCCATTTGGGGAGTGAAGAGGAAAATTCCCCCACCATCCTCTGAGTGCAAAGCCTTCCGCTAAACCAATGTGCTTTCCTTCATATGAGAGTGTGGCACTTCCGCTAGCCTAAACAGGAGCCATACTCTGAATGCTGCATTTGACCAAGCTCCCCAGGCAACTGCTGGGTCTTCAAAGTCAGAGGCATACTCAGAAGAGACAGCTGATTGAGATCATTGGGATTCTTTAGTGTGAGGTCAACAGGAATGATGGGAATCTAACAGGGAACTTTGGCTCCATCATATCATCGTCATAATGTTGCCAACTGAGGCAATGGAGCCAAGCCCTATGTTTGCCATTGGCACGGATGGGCTATGTGCAGAGGCATTCGTACTCTTTGTTGGGTCTACAGACTGCTTCCTTGATGAAGCAAAGTAAATAATTTACTGATTCAAACCTGCTTGGCTGTGTGGGAAATTTCCACAGCCAGATCCCCTCCAGAATTCCCAATGCCAATTATAATGACTCTCTTTCCAGTGAAAATATCTGGATTCTTATAGTCTCGGCTATGGAAGTACTGTCCTTTGAACTTCTCAATTCCTGCAAGAGAAGGAAAAGAATTATCGGATGAGGCTTATCTGCTATCATTTGTCAAACCATTCACTTTGCTGGCAGTGTGTAGAGTTTAAGCACACACCTCCATCTGTTCTCCCTTTACTCAGCTGCATGCTTGCCTTTCTGAATATTTTTGCCTATTTTCTTTTCTCACAGTCTCAGAGCAGAACCTTGTGACTTCCTTACAACGGATAGTCTGCTTACCTCAGGATCTGCTTGTATTTTGGACTTGTAGACTCCCAAATCCAAACTGCTGCAGAAAAACCTCCTTTCTCTTTTGTCTTTTCATATTTAATTACCTACTCCCATTTCAATTGGAGTGCATATGGTTTCATATACACTAGAGTATACTAGAGTGCTTTTTTTTGTGTTGTTTTTTTTTTCAAAATGAAAATCCAGGTCATAATCTATAATTGAATTCCTTAAGTATTCATTTCTTCCTTAGAAACTCAGTATTTGTTTGTTTCCTTGATTGCTGAAAAAGTTTTTATTCAACCTAATACGATCAACTCCATGTTCTTTCTTTTGCTCCTTAGAAAAACTAAGGTTGTTGGGAAACCAAAGATAGAGCCCTCTAATTCTTCTCTAGTCTCCAAAATTAATGTTATTGCTACCACCCAAATGGCAGTAATCAAAGTTGCCCCAACATCTTTCAGGGCAACATGTAGAATTAGGATAAACCTCTTCTCATCCTTAGATAGGAATCACTCAGGCCACAATCCTCCCATTTCCTCAGAGATCAGCTCACAGGCATGTCTCAAGGGTTTCCTTCCTTGTAGGCTACTCACCAGGAAAGCTTTCCAAGGGCAAGTGAGCATTGGTGTGATGGCCAGTGCAAACCATGACTCCATCAAAGACATGTACCTCCTTTTCTCCTTCAGATTCTGTGACTACCTCCCATTGGCCTGAAGTGGAAAAATCAGGCCGCTTCTTCACACTGCACACAGTGGTCTGAAAAGAAAAGCGATAGCTCCAGGAGACTAACCACAGCCAATACAGTGGACATCTTCCCTGACAGGACTCTCTTTGCAGAGCGTTACACAAAGGGCTAATATCACATAATAGAGCTCATGCAGCGATATTTGATTTTCATATTCCACACATAAGAACTTCTTTGTCCGGGGCTGTGGTCAGAGTGAGAAAACTCCCATGAGACAGGCTAAATAAAATAGTTGGCAGGTTAATATTGCACTCTCCTCTGCTTCTAGAAAAGTGCAAATTACTCGTACTCTTAGACCATGCCCTAAGATGTCATGAGACGCGTGAACAGAACGTAGGTTTCTCCTGTGCTTCTAAGGCACTCCATGCACTAACTGCCCACTCCTCTCCTGACCCCCAGACATCCTGGGACCCTCTGGTATCTTTTTATCCCAAGTCCTGTTCTCACTGTCTAGGCTTAAACTCGTGACTGAGTCAATGAACCTCTCTTTGGCTCCCATAAATGCCAATTTTACAAGTGATTATAAAGAAAGAGGCTTCAAGATGGGATAGTCAGTGGTATAATTTTTAGGTTTAAAAAAATGGGTTTTTCTATCCAGCCTAAGGAAACATTAAGAGTGTATTCCTATGTGGTTCTAGGGTCTCTGACCGTAATGTCTTGGTGGACTCCCAGAGATACCGTATCGGTAGACCCTAGCCATCCTGCACTATTTAGAGTTCTTCTCTATAAGGTTCTTGCTTTTACACAGGCTTGTGCCTCTGCATGGGTCATCTTTTATTTCTTCATTTGGCAGATTCCTACTTACCTTTCAACATTTAGCTTACATATTATCTCCTCTAAAAAAACTTCCCTGGTGCCTATTGTCTCATGCCCTGATGGGTTAAGCACCCTTCCTCTGAGCTAACAATATATAAATCTCTATGGCATTTATTACCCTGTAACTCTTTACTTTCATTAAATTTATAGAAATTTTTCTCTTCATTCTTATATCTTCTTGACTAGGCTATGAAATCATTGGCTTCTTTTGGTCTTTGTGTCTCCACCGATTAGTATGGCAACAAACTTGTTAAATGTGTTTAACAACAAGTGAACGGAAGTCACTGAGCTATAAAAGACTTACTTTGGAAGTTGTCACTGGATATTACCAGTTTATTATCCTTGTTAAATAGAGAAAGTGATGATTTAGCAGAATGATCAGAAGGCAGAAGGGAGGTGGGAGTGGGGAATTGGATGCAGATGGTCAAGAGGTACAAAATTCCAGTTATAAGATAAATAAGCACTGGGGATATAATAATGTACTACGTGACGACTATTGACAATACTGCTGTATGGCATATTTGAAAGTTGTTAAGAGAGTAGATCCTAATAGTTCTCATCACAAGGGGAAAAAAAGGTAGACTATTTAGGCTTTTTGCCAGCTGTCAGAAATATGTGTTCTTCTATGGCCGTGGTTAAAGATGATAGAAAAATCGGGCTGCTGGGTGGCTCAGTCGGTTAAGCGTCTGCCTTTGGCGCAGGTTGTGATCCTGGGGTCCTGGGATCAAGTCCTGCATCGGGCTCCCTGCTCCATGGGGAGCCTGCTTCTCCCTCTCTCTCTGTCTCATGAATAAAGAAAATAAAATCTTTGAAAAAAAAAAGATGATAGAAAAATCAAGGAAGACTGAACAAAAGGAAGGAACCATTGAACTGATCTGATATAATCATCTTATTTTACCAACAAGAAGATTTTTACAAACAAGAAAACAAGAGACGTCAAAGTTGAGGAACTTGTCTGAAGTCACAAGTTGATTAGTGGTAGAGCAAAGAGTAGAACTCAAGTTTTTGTTCCCCAATTAGTGTTCTTCCCTCTACACCATATTTAATTTCTTGGCTTCCTCAATAACGTCCCAATAACTGCTTCACTAGGTTGTTTGTGATCACATAAAAATAATGCATTGGTGTGATCTGATGAGCAATGGGTGTTATACGCAACGGATAAATTGTTGAACGCTACACCTGAGACTAAGGATATGTTGGCTGATTGAATTTAAATAAAAAAAAATGCACTGGCAAGTACTTCAGAACGTATAAAAGGGCTAAGCAGCAGCAGATAAGCTGTGGTGGACCCAGAAGTTTCCATACCCGTCAGTTCCCCTCCATAACCAGGAAAACACTTGCCCTCATTTGTTTTATTGCAATCAAATAGCATAAAGTGAAGGAATGAAAACATTCTGGCAGGTGGCTTCTAGGATCTGCAGCCAAAATATATAGAAAAAGGACCTTTCCATGTGGACAGAGACAGGCACAGAGAAGACAAAAGAATGGAGTCTTTTTCTGGATAGGATAGATACATGGGCATATTAAGGCAGTCTTTACACATAGGCACCGGTAAATTAAGCCACATTATTCATTTATTTTACAAACAACTTCAAACACAAAGACACCCACAAAATTCCCTACCTTAAAGCGAATATACTTTAGAAGATCAAATTCTTTGGCATACATCCGGAAATACTCGAGGACCTGGGAGTTGGGCATGAAGTTAGGATAATGATCTGGGATGGGATAGTCACTGAAGCACATCATCTCCTTAGATGTGTTGATGATCACTGATTTGTAAATACTGGCCCTTCCTTCTTCAGGATTTTCCTGCATTAAATAAGAAGCATTCATAGCAACTTGAGAATTGACTTCATGGTTTATTAAGAGTCAGTAAACATTTGAAAAAGTTTCCTGAAAGAAATGCCAATTAAAAAAAGTTATATAGACACACACACCCCTCCACATCTCCCAGTATTTGTGCCCTTGTGTAGTCTCTTCCCTTTGAATCTGAGTTGTCTTTGTGACTTGCTTTAGACCAACAGCATGCAGTTGGCATGATACCTGGATAGCTTCTAAGTCAGTCCTAAGTAGTCTTGCAGCTTCTGCCCTCTGTCTCTTAGAAAGCTTGATCTGGTAGAAGTCAGTAGATATGTAAGAAGTCCAACTACCTTAAGTCACCATTCTGTGAGTAAGCCCAAGTCAGACACGTGAAGAGAATGTCTGGGATACAGAGATGTGTAGCCAGCCCCCAGAAATTTGGTTTATCCCAGCTGAAGTTCTAAACATGTGAACAAAGAGACCACAGCAGATATACAGTTTCAGTTGTCACCTAATTGCAATGACATGAGACTCCCAAGTGAGAACTGCTCATCTGAATAATAGTCTTATAAATATTTTATATATTTCAAAGCCTAGATGAGTTTCAAGGGTTGTTGTACTCTGGCAAGACTGCGCTCCAGGAAACATTGTACTAACTTCTATTCTGTCCCGCATATGTTCCCATATGACCTCATTTTTTTTACTCATTTATTTTTTATTTTTTTAATTTTATGATGTTATGTTAGTCATGATACAATAATTTTTATTCATTTACAAGACTATTACTCGGTGTTAGCACAAACAGAAACTTATGAAATGGGAACTTATGGTGGAGAGAGTGAAGTTAGTACAATGTTTTCTGGAGAGCAATGTGGCAAGTATGTGAAAACCCTTGAAACTTACTTAGCTTTTTAAGAAATATTCAGCGTAGTAGACAAAGTTACGTTAAATGATGTTAATGATAGCATTATTTATAGAAAAGAAATAATCTAAGTGCCTGTGATATTGTGACTTATAAGAAATATACGTTTCGTCATTCAGACGACCAAAAATATCTCTCCTATGTATTTGGTCTTTGTATATATTTTGCATATATATGTGGACTTGCTTTACAGTTCCTGACACATAGCTCCCCAAACCCTTGGAATTTCCTAAGTGTTAAGAATGATAAAGATGTTGGGCGCCTGGGTGGCTCAGTTGGTTAAGCGACTATCTTCGGCTCAGGTCATGATCCTGGAGTCCTGGGATCGAGTCCCACATCGGGCTCCCTGCTCGGCAGGGATTCTGCTTCTCCCTCTGACCCTCTTCCCTCTCGTGCTCTCTATCTCTCATTCTCTCTCTCTCAAATATATAAATAAAATCTTTAAAAAAAAAAGAATGATAAAGATGTCTTTTGTTGTGTTAATGAAGTGACTTTGGGAAACCACTTAAGGATAGGGGCTGATTGCCAAAGGGGCCAACTAAGGGGAGTCTGGGTGGTTCAGTCAGTTAAGCATTCCACTCTTGATTTTGGCTCAGGTAGTGATCTCAGGGTTGTGAGATTGAGCCCCATGTTGGACTCCCCTGCTGAGCAGGGAGTCTGCTTGAGATTCTTCTCTCCCTCTCCTTCGGCCTCCCCCACCCCACCACCACCACCACACATGCTCTCCCTCTCTCTCTCAATAAAAAAAAAAAAAGAAAAGAAAAGAGGCATCAACCAAGTGATTAGAGGGCTGGAACGTTCAGTCTCACCCCCACCCCCACCCCCACCACCGACCTTTGGGGAGGGGAGAGAGGCTGGAAGTTGAATAAATTGTCAATGGCCATGATTTAATGATTTCATCAACCATGCCTACATAATGAAGCCTCCATAGAAACACACAAGGATGGGGTTTGGGGAGCTTCCAGACTGGTGAAGCTGAGGAAATATGGGGAGAGTTAGTTAGAGCACTCAGAAAGAGCACAGAAGCTCTGTGTCTTGTCCCCATACCTTGTCCTATGCATTTCTTCCATTTGACTGTTATAAGTTATATCCTTTTATAATAAACTGGTAATCTAGTGAGTAAATGGGTTTCCTGAGTTCTGTGAGCCACTATAGCAAATTAATCAAACCCAAAGAGGGGGTCATGGGAACCTCTGATTTATACGCAGTTGGTCAGAAGTATAAGTAATAACCCGGATTTGTGACTGGTAGCTGAAGTGGGGTGCAATTGGGCGGCCCTTTCACAACTTTTAAAGTACATATTACAGCTTCTCCATTTGGAAAATTCCTATCATTCAAGAGTCACATCAAATGGCACTTCTTTGAAGACTTTTCTGTTTTCCCCACAGAGTTAGATGTCCCATTCATATCCAAGCTCTCAAAGGCAACTTAAACTTAACACTGTATTCTGTATATGTTTCTATGACTGTGAGGTACCTGAGAATAGGATGTATATCTTATTCTTCTTTGTGTCTCTACCATCAACAGAGTGCCTGATATAGTGGATGTTCAATAAGTGCTTTGAAAGGAATTAATGACTGAATTATGGAGAATGAATTTGGAGACACCTAAACTGTAATTTTCCAATCTATGTAGGAACATTGAAAATGACCTATAATATACCTTTTGGTAAAAAAAAATTAATATTACAAAATCAAATTCACATTCTCACCATCAAATACATAAAATTATGTCTGCATGGGGCAATTGTATACTACCTATATTTACCCATGTTTACATAATTATGCATTGTATAACCTCTCCCCTGTCAGATGGTTCTGAGTATATTTTATTTATTTTAAGCCAATAGAACTTGAAAATAGGAAAAACAAGTTGATTTATTAATGAGGTAGTATTTTTCTTTTGTTTTTGTTGAAATGTTGTTTATACAACACCCCTTCATGATTTAGAAAAGAGAAACCTTGAGCAAACTAAGAATAGAAAAAAATTTCTTCAATTTGATTAAAAAAAATCTACAAAATACCCACAGCTAACATCATAACTTAATGTGAGAAAATGGACAGTTTCCCCCTTAAAATTGGGAACAAGGCAAAGATGTCCTCTCTCACCATTCCTGTTTAACACTGTACTAGAAATCCTAGTTGATGTAATAAGACAAGAAAAGGAATAGTGGCTGTACCAGATTGCTTTCCCACCAACAGTGCTAGAGGGTTCCCCTTTGTCCACATCCTGGCTAATAACCTGTTATTTCTTGTGTTGTTGGTTTTAGCCATTCTGACAGGTGTGAGGTGATATCTCATTACAGTTTTGATTTGTATTTCCCTGATGATCAGTGATGTTGAGCATCTTTTCATGTGTCTGTTGGCCATCTATAGGTCTTCTTTGGAAAAATGTCTATTCATGTCTTCAGCCCACTTTTTCATTGGATTATTTGTTTTTTGGGTGTTGAGTTTGATAAGTTCTTTATAGGTTTGGGATACTAACCCTTTATCAGATGTATCGTTTGCAAATATCTTCTCCCATTCCATAGGCTGCCTTTTAGTTTTGTTGATTGTTTCCTTTGCTGTGCAGAAGCTTTTTATTTTGATGAAGTCCCCACAGTCTATTTTTGCTCTTGTTTCCTTTGCCTTTAGGAGACGTATCTAGAAAGAAATTGCTATGGCCTGTGTCAAAGAGGTTGCTGCCTGTGTTCTCCTCTAGGATTTTTATGGTTTCATGTCTCACGTTTAGGTCTTTATTCCATTTTTAATTTATTTTTATGTGTACTGTAAGAAACTGGTCCAGTTTCATTCTTTTACATGTTGCTGTCCAGTTTTCCCAACACCAGTTGTTGACGAGACTTTTTTCCATTGGATATCCTTTCCTGCTTTGTCGAAGATTAATTGCCCATATAATTGTGTGTCCCTTTGTGGGTTTTCTATTCTGTTCTATTGATCTCTGTGTCTATTTTTTGTGCCAGGACCACACTGTTTTGATTACTACAGCTTTGTAATATAACTTGAAATCTGGAATTGTGATGCCTCCAGTTTTGCTTTTCATTTTCAAGGTTGCGTTGGCTATTTGGGGAAAATAGTATGGAGGTTCCTCAAAAAGTTAAAAATAGAACTACCCTATGACCCAGCAATTGCACTACGAGGTATTTGCCCAAAGAATACAAAAATACTAATTCTAACTTTAGGAAAAGGAGTAGAACCATGCTTTCTAGAGCAGGTCAGTCGGGCTCACAGAGCTAAATGCATCACAGATCCTACCCCGTGACAAAACTCATATATTTATATTCTCTTCCATGTCACTAACACAGCAAAGTGTTTTCTTATGTCAACAAAAACCATCAAGGGGCACCTGGGTGGCTCAGTCGGTTAAGCTTCTGCCTCCAGCTCAGATCGTGATCCCAGGGTCCTGGGATGAAGCCCTGCATTGGGCTCCCTGCTCTGTGGGGAGCCTGCTTCTCCCTCTGTCTCTCTCTCTTTCTGTCTCTCATGAATAAATAAATAAAATCTTAAAAACAAAGACATCAAGCTATTCCAAACTCCCGACTGGACCCCAGGTAGGGTTTACCACTGTGTTAAACCACTGCTTTTTATAAAAGAGAGTGGGAACAGAGCAATATTGGATCAGTGAGTGGAAAAAGAAGCTGTTGCGTGGGGTTTTTAAATTTTCCTACCATAATTAATAAATCTGCCCTCTACAAATGTACCTTGATTGTATTTCCTGCCTAAGCACATGACTCACACATGTGAACAGGAAGTTCATACAAGAAAAGAGAATAGGGGCAGTGTTGCTCTTCTGTTCCTTTGACAAACTCAGAATTCCATGGGACAGAAGCTCTCTTAGGACTGTTCTCAACCTTGTCTGCACATTGGAATAATCTGGGGAACTCTAAAAAACACTAAGGCCTGGTCCCTACTCCCAGAGACCCTGTTTTAATTGCCCCTTGTCTAATATGCAGACAAGGTGAGATCTGCTGGTAAGAGGTAGTGTGCCGGCCCTAGAAAGCTCAGGGCACCAGAGTTCATCCCATCAACCTCAAAGTCCTTTCTCCACACATTCTTAGCTAAATTGGAAAATGCTTGAAGACAGCGGCAGT